ATGACAGTAAGAGAAAATTATACTGCTTACAAAATCACCGCTGAGTATGCTCATTTCATTTTCTACATCAAATTGTAATGTGATTATAGAAAATAATATCATCATCACCCATAGACCAAGATTACAATATTATACAAGGTGATAATCAACTAGGTGGCCAAACTTCAGGACAAAAATGTCACATGAACTTGGAAGAAAATGCATTGTTTCCCAGATATAGGGTGTCAAAGTAAAAGAAAATTATTTGTTTATAAATTTAAGTACTTATAGCTCAACTATTAAATGCTCACTATAGATATTCACTCAATCCCTATAATGTTTGAGGAACATTGTGTGTACCTACAGAGAATAGGGAAAGGAGGTAGGTATTGAAATTTTTTTAACTTTTGGTGATTAAAGTTCTTCGAAATACAGAAAAAAAAATTTGACACCCTATATATTTAAAACTATTCAAGTAATTGTTAGCTTTGGAATATGTCCTGGTAATAGTGTTCTCCTGTCCATATATTTATTGAAGGTAATCATATATCACATACCCATGAATACTTATTGGAATATATTTTCATTTGTTATTTGCAAATATTTTCCTGAACCATGTATTTGAAAATATGTGAAGTATTCAAATCTTCAACAGTAGGTATTTAAATATTTCAAGGATATTATAAATTAGTACTTCAGACATATTTAGAATACAATGAAATATTCAAAAACTTACTGTGAGCTATTAAAATACTATTAATATTGATGAATAATTTTTCTTGCAGAGTATTTATTAGCTCTGATTGACCCTATAAGTTTTATGGAAGAGTTCTTTCCTATTATTTATCTGTAATCAGGAAGAAAGATATTAATGAAAGCAGAGCTCCGAAAAAATATTGTTGCAAATGGTAGAAACATTTTTTAAAATTGTAGAAATATACCAGTCCATTGTATTGATTCACTCAATTCCTTAAGAAAATACTGGATATTAGAGTTAAATCCAGATTGGGTAAAACTGCACTTATCATGTATTGTTTTTTTTCCAAATTTTTTTTTGGTACTTGTGTATTTTCGCCTGAAGAACACAAATTGCACAATGAAAATGTGAACAAACCACTATCTATTGAGACATTTTACAAAAAAATGTGAAATTTCACCATGTTTTGTGACCCATCTTGGATATCCATTTACAACTATTTGTCCTTCTTTAGCCATCATTGGACCCTTTATACAGTATCGTGGAAATGTATGGAATAAATTCATTATCTCAAACGCCTATGAATTTGAAGAAAAATCCTGAGACAGGTGGATTTTAATTTTGAAATTGACACCTCTTGATATACAGGGTGATTCAAAAGTAAGCGGCATCCTTTCAGAGGCGTATTCCTTGCATGAAAATAAGGCAAAAAGTTCCTATTGATAAGGATCCGAAAATGCTTCCTAAGGGAGCTACGGCCCTTTGAATAGGACACCTCAAAGACGGTTTTTTCTCTATAACTTTAAAATCCTTCACAACAAATTTTTAAAAATTGGTGTACGGCATAAACATTCGATGGTAAATAGGACTCCGTATTCGAAATTTCAGAATTTCATTCAGGGGCGTCACATGCGGGAGAGGGTAAGTGTAAAAATATCCCTTCTTCTCCGGATATTCAGGTTACTGTGATTTCGTTTGGAAATTATAAAATTCTAGAGTTTTTTACGTGAAAAAGGTCCTCCTAGTTCATGTCGATAGAGCGTACCATTTAGGAGAAAATCGACTTTGAAAACTTTCTGATTTGCGTCTGTTTACTGATGTAGGTAAATTAATATGCATTTTCATAGATAAAAACAACCTTTTTTCACCTAAATGTCGTTCAACAATTTAGAGAAAATGTTCAAAATTATCACCATTAGCGTCACGACAAGCTGCTAATCTTTTGATCAGATTACGATGCACACGTGGTAAAATTCTTGGGTTGTTTTTAATTGTCTGAAATCCTTCCTCTATCCTTTGCCTGAGAACATCAATATCAGATATTGGGCGGGAATAAACCAGTTGTTTTATGTGTCCCCATAAATAAAAATCGAGGGGGTTCAGGTCAGGAGAGCGAGCTGGCCATGTCACTGGACCCCCACGACCTATCCAACGGTCTCGGTAGGCATTATTCAAATGGTTTCTAGCAGTGATACTAAAATGTGGGGGAGCGCCGTCGTGCATAAACCACATTTGTGCTCGTAATAGAAGTGGCAGATTTTCTAACATGTGTGGTAAGTCATTTTGTAAAAAATTTGTGTAATTTTGACCATTAAGTCGTTGGGGCATAAATACGGGTCCTATTAAATGCCCATCGATTATTCCCGCCCACACGTTCAAACTAAACTGCTGCTGATGTGCTTTCCGTACCGTGGCATGGGTATTCTCATCCGTCCATAAGTGGTTGTTGTGGTAATTGAAAATTCCGTTTCTTGTGAAGCCGGCCTCGTCGGTAAATAAAATTTTCTTTGCAAAATTTTCATCAGCAACGCGTGATATTTCGAGCCAATTACAGAATTGTACACGAGGATGAAAATCTCGCTCTTCCAAAGCCTGAACCCGTTGAATATGATAAGGGTAGAGTAACGTCTCGTGCAAAATTCTCCATACAGTTGACTGAGAGTACCCTTCTTGATAGGCAATGATGCGGGTACTTAAAGATGGATCTTCTTCAATACGATCTAGCACTCGTTCTTCTAATGCTAAGGTTCTTGCATTTCTTGGTCGCCCAATAACTTCCTGTCTTCGAAAAGTTCCTAAAGTGAAATGTAGGTAGGTATTATGCGATTACTAGAATTTTTAAATTCACCTGTTTCTCTTAAATTACGATCTACTCTTGCAAAAACCGTACGGTGTGGCACTTGTCGATTAGGAAATGCCTCTTCATACAACCGTCTTGCTTCTACACAATTACCAAACGCACTCCCAAACATAATGTGAATATCAGCTTGTTCTTGATAAGTGAAATACATTTTTGCTTTTTTGAAGAAACGCCAGGTACTTACAGAAATCAACAAAATTATTGATGAATAATTTGTGAAACACTTTATGAATCTGATTTCCCTTCGACGAATAAGTGAATCGAATTCCCTGTCGTATTCAACAATGACATTCACCAGTTATTTGAAAATAAAATCAAACGTCAAAAAACAACAGCCAACTTCGGTTCTTTGGTAATGCATACCTATTAATTTACATCAGAATTATACGCAAATCAGAAAGTTTTCAAAGTCGATTTTCTCCTAAATGGTACGCTCTATCGACATGAACTAGGAGGACCTTTTTCACGTAAAAAACTCTAGAATTTTATAATTTCCAAACGAAATCACAGTAACCTGAATATCCGGAGAAGAAGGGATATTTTTACACTTACCCTCTCCCGCATGTGACGCCCCTGAATGAAATTCTGAAATTTCGAATACGGAGTCCTATTTACCATCGAATGTTTATGCCGTACACCAATTTTTAAAAATTTGTTGTGAAGGATTTTAAAGTTATAGAGAAAAAACCGTCTTTGAGGTGTCCTATTCAAAGGGCCGTAGCTCCCTTAGGAAGCATTTTCGGATCCTTATCAATAGGAACTTTTTGCCTTATTTTCAAGCAAGGAATACGCCTCTGAAAGGATGCCGCTTACTTTTGAATCACCCATACGGAGTTTGTAACGTCATCCGCATAGTTGTGGTGACGTCATCATTATTTTTATAAATGGAAACATCATTGTCTATCTAACAATATACTGATACTGAAAATAAAGCAATACAGGTTGAGATAAAATTATTAATTATTTTATATTTACAATGGAAACAATTATAATTAATGAAAAATTCGACCTGTATACATCAGAAACAATGTATAATGTATATCATCATTCACATTGTATCATTGCAGAAGATCACCAATTCCAACATTTATTGTAATGGTTTCGGATGTAAATATAAAATAATTAATAATTTTTTCTCACCCTGTATTACTTCATTTTGGTAATATCAGTATATGGTTGGATAGACAATGAATATACCTTATGAAAAAAAAATTAATAGGGGATGTTTCCATTCATGAAAAAAATGGATGGTGTTAATTTGAAAATTAAAATTGACATGTCTCAGGATTTTTCTTCAAATTCATATGCGTTAAAGATAATGAATTCATTCCATACATTTCCACCATACTGTATGTTGTACTTCAATAACCCATTTTATTTTCTGAAATCCACAAAAAGTATGGTTTATTTGGATTTTTTTCATATTTTAGTGAGGTATCCAATCACAGCAGCTGATGGCCATTCAATTATCAAATCTAAATACAAATCACAGAACTCAAAATACAAATACAAGATGTCAAATAAAGGTCAAATGTCAAAAAAAAATTGCAAGAAATTGGAGGAACTATTGTTTACCTTGCCAAATATGAAAAAATTTCAAATAAACCATACTTGTTGATTTAAGAACATAAAATGTGTTATTCAAGTATAATGTGAGTAAATAAAGTGTCCAGTGATGGAAAAAGGACAAGTAGTAAATGAATATCCTAAATGGGTTGCAAAAGAAGGTGGAATTTCACACTTTTTCATAAAATATCTCCATAAATACCAATAAATAGGGGTTTGTTCACATTTTCATTCTGAAATTCATGTTTTTCAGACAAAAATATGTAGGTACAAAAAAATTATAACTGCAGTTTTACCCCAGATTGGCATATTTAGTGTGTTAAGAACTGTATTATCCAGCTAACATGTAACCACTCTAAACAATAATGTGTTAAGAACTGTATTATTTAGCTTAGATGATACTATGACCAATTAATAAATTACCTCTCTGTACAATAATGAATCTAAGGAATACCAAATATGTGAGTACCACACAATATAACATCAACCCCATTCCCATATATACTTTTGATCCCATTCCCATTTCACAAATGGTTAAAAGGTTGAAAAAATACTGTACAATGGGTATTATTCACCAAATATCAGCTGTGATATAGCTGTGGCACATAGGAATTTCTATAACTCAACATTTCCTTCACTAACCTCTTGTAACAGATCCTGAGCAGCAATTGCTTTGAGAACATTTTTCTTGCTGGTTTCTTGCACCTCACCTCCCAAAAGAAGTTCATCCAGGATGAAATAGGCTTTCTCAAAGTTGAAAATTATGTCCAACTCACACACCTACAAGAATCAAGAATCAAAATGTTCTCATGAAAAAATAGACAAGAGTTCACTTACACTTCCAAAATATTTGTCCAACAGTTCCACATACCGATGAATGATCTCCAGAGTGAGCAGTTCATTATCACACTGTTCAATTGCACAACAGAAGTATAGACTTGCATATCTGGAAAAACATTGGAAAATGTTGAATGAATATAGGGTGCAGGAATCATGGATTACCTTTTGTAGACTATTTTCAATTCCTTCCATTCCAAGAAGCTACACATTTTGGGTTTCCTGGCCAGGATGGTTGTGATCAATTCTCTCGTTATTTTCTTCTTTACTTTGTCTGGATGGGCCACGTACCATTTTTGCAGCCTCAGCTTGCCTTGTCTGCTGAATAATAACATGAACTGCATCTGAAAAAATTGAAATTACGTCGAGAATGTTTCACTAATTATTTCAATATGTAATTGGCTTACAACGAACGGTTCCTGCAAACAATTAAACCAATATGATGGAATGTGTAATTTCTTCCAAAATGTTAAAGGAATTCACAAAAAATCATCAACCTCTCATATGCGCCATTTTTATTAGGAAGTGTATATACTGCCGACCAGTCGGCATTCTATACTTTTTGTTAGGCTGCCGACCGTTCGGCAGACTTGTTATTTACAAGAGTCTCGAGATCAACTAGCGTCTAGCGCAAGGAGGTATTAGTATAAACACGTAGTGGGAGAACCGTGCCAAGCGAGACGCGGACAAACATCAACTGTGCTCATCACCTATAGCGACGCGCGGCTGACAACACATGTTATTAAAAGTCTAATAACACAAAACTAACACTTTGAATACTGATTTGAGGATTTGGAGATTGAGGCCATAAAATGAAAAAATAAAATTGGGATACCTATACCTATTATAGGTATTCATAAAATACAATATTCAATAGAGAAAAAACCCAAAGTCGTCTCCACAATTTTTAATGTATAATCAGGCAGTCAATCCTGCATCATTAAGGTTGATACATGTTTCGGCCATTGAAATGGCCATCTTCAGTCAAAAGAATATAACAAAGTGTATCTACAATAGAAAACCAAACATGATTTTTTATATAAGAAAAATTGAAAATGGAAAAGACAACAGTTGTAAATTCAAATTGAATTGATTAACAATTTCGGTTAGATCAAAGAGCAACAGTGATTTTTATGAGTATACAATGCTAATTGATCAGTAATTGATCTATCTATGGTTCTCCATTTTGTTTTTTAGAATTTTGATTTGATAAAATTTTGTTTTTCACTTTTATTATCAATTACTGATCAATTATCATTGTATACTCATAAAAATCACTGTTGCTCTTTGATCTAACCGAAATTGTTAATCAATTCAATTTGAATTTACAACTGTTGTCTTTTTCATTTTCAATTTTTCTTATATAAAAAATCATGTTTGGTTTTCTATTGTAGATACACTTTGTTATATTCTTTTGACTGAAGATGGCCATTTGAATGGCCGAAACATGTATCAACCTTAATGAAGCAGGATTGACTGCCTCATTATACATTAAAAATTGTGGAGACGACTTTGGGTTTTTTCTCTATTGATCATTCCACTCCACTTTGAGCATGGACTACTACAGAAAATACAATATTATTCTTTAAGCATTTAAGTTCACATCATGAATAAAGAAACTGAATATCTGAATACATTTTTTCTTTAATTAATTACTAATAATAAGACTAGTGATAATGGCAAGTAAGTTGATATATTGTCAGTATTATATTTGTGGTATCGTAATGGTATAACCCATAATCAGTGATAGAATAATGTACAGAATGTATTATTCCATTTGAAAATCCAAAATTGGTAGATGGTCAGAATGACGTGGTCATCGCAGAGAGTATCTGGAGAAAATGTGAAGTTCTATATACAGTATGATGCAAATGTATGGAATAAATTCATTATTTCAGAAATGGGCGACATTTGAAGATATTCCAAAAACACGTGAGTTTCAATTTTTGATACCTCATCTCATGACATTCATATGAAAGATGTTACGTCACCGGTGTTGGAGTAATGACGTAATGGACGGTTTTTTTAAATACAAACAGGGGTCATGTGACACCTCGTTTGAAAGGTCTACTGATCGTCTATCCAATAGTCAAAATTTTGCAAAAGAATATTGCAATTAAAATGGATTATCATTTGGTTAACTGAATCTTGCAGAGATCTTCTACTGAGAATTGGACATCGAAGGGTCGTCTATATAGTTGAAAAAATACATCGATAAAAAAGTTCTGAACTCTACTTTTTGGATTTTTTTTGGAAGTCGTCTTGTTTTGAGATGAATTTATTCCATACATTTGCATCATACTGTATATATATTCCTTCGCTCCAACGTTCTTCGGGCATGTCGATAGGTGAAGGCATAGGTGATGTTTGTCCGCGTCCGCGTCTCGCTTGCGCGGTTCTCCCACTACGTTGTTTATACAAATACCTCCTTGCGCTAGACGCTAGTTCGAGATCATACCCGTGTGTTCACCGAACACGCCCGATCGTTACCTAAGCGGTGGGGAGACCGAGACGTAAGCAGGCAGCCATGATCATGATCATAAAATTCATAAACAAACTACACTCATCATGATACATTGAATGGGCAGGCAGCTTCTCTCATGCTGTATCTGTTTTTGTAGTGTAGTACGGGGTGGGCCACCAACAGTTTTCTTGATCACATTTCAACATTTTTTTTTTCGAATGAATAAGAAACATTTGATAGGCATCAAGTGATCTACTGCGACCTATCAGATAATGAGAGCGATGATTTGATTTGCAATAATTCACTATGTCACGACGAGTTCTACAAATAGCGAACCACTCATCGAAAATCATGAAACTATATGTACATATTATACGCTTATGTTTTGTTGGCGAGGACGCTCGTTTTATTCAAATTATTTTCGATAATGTTCATCTGCTTCACTAGAAATTATTATTAGTACCTAGTTAGTAGTAGTAGTATAGTAGTAGCAGCTTTGTTATTCAAAATGGAACATATCTTATATTTCATTACATTTTTCGATTCTTCTAATTGAGCTATGATTTATCGTTGATCAAGCTCGAGGTATACCTATACGTAGAATGTGAAAAATCGAGATTTTTTTTGTATCGAAACTATACAATACTCTATTTACTATCTACTGATGCCATTTATTTGAAACAAATACAGAGTGGATCAGATTTCAGAATTATATAGAAGAAGTACTAGTATGCCTACTAAAAAAATATATATATTTGAAATAAACAAAACAAATATATCACATAAAAAAAACACACTCTAATATTCAACATAAAATAAAATTCAATCCCACTGGATGTATTTAAAAATAAAAACAGTGTGCATGTCACTTCTAATGGAATCAACCCGTATATCGAACGTAACTGTTCAATTTTCAGGAGCGATAGATATATATGTTATATGCTAAAATCAGTTCCCATTGTTCTCAGTAGTATCAACTTACCAGCGATAACAATTCCTCAGAACATGATCTTGACCTTGAAGTCAGCATCCGCAGAAATGGAATATAATATCTGCTGACGCTGGCATCAGCATTATTTTTAATATAAATTCATTTTATATTGTATCAAAAAGTCAGTCTTGAAATAAAGCTCATTGTATAAACTTAATCTATGCCGGAATAAATAAAATTGTTTTTAAAAAGTCTATTTCGAAAACCACGAGATAACAAATTGGCGCAGTCGTACGGATTTTGTGACGTTGCTAGAACACGGAAACGACCTAACTAGTGACGGTGGATCCCAATCCTTTGCCGAAATCAAAGAACCAACCTGAGGGAGTCATCACTCGAAGAGCTGTGGAAGGAACACCTGGTGAAGCCCCTGGCAGAATCGACGAGAACACGACGAACTCAATGATACTGATCCTGTAAGTACTATATTGAATCGTACCGCATTTCAAATTTGAAACAACCAAGTAACTGTTCCATTATCCAATTGTTTCCCCTTTTTTTGTCACATTTCAACAAAAACCAATTGCAATGAATGACGATAACGTAAACGTGGCACCACCACGAGCACCTGCAGAAATTGAGCCATACAGACTCAATGAAATATTTTCCATCATACCGGAATATGATGGCAATCCAATATTTTTAACCACCTTTTTACAAGCCTGTAATACCGCTTACAGAATGGCAGTCGACGAACAACGACTACTAGTAACACTTCACATAAAAAATAAATTACGTGGACGTGCTGCAGAGCTAGTGAATTCGAGAAACCCACTTACTTGGGAAGAAGTTAGACATCTTTTAGATACCCACTTTGGCGATTCCAGAGACTTGACTTCATTAATTCAAGATCTCCAAAGACTTCGTCAACTTCCCGGCGAAAATGCAATGACATTCGTTCAACGATTGCAAACGCATAATGCCAAAATGCACGCCGCTGTAAATAAACAAATTTTGCCACCAGACCAAAGAGGCGCGCAGTCCAGGCTTATAGAAACTATGAGTTTGAACACCCTTTTGACTGGATTAGATCCAAAACTTGGTCAAATAATTCGAGCAGGCACCCCAACCGATATGTTAACCGCAATTACTCGTATCAGACGGGAAATGCAGTTGAGTTATTTCGAAAATCAAAAATTGCCTAACTCACAAAGCTATCGAAATCCGAATGCAGTTTCAGTTCGAAAACCAATTTCATCTCAACAAATAAAACAGTGTTCATATTGTGGACGTACCGGACATTTGATTCATGAATGCCGCGCAAAACAGAATTCCCAAAATAGACCACAATACCCTCCAAGACCAAACCAACAAAATTTCAATCAAGCTGGACCCTCAAGACCATTTCAAACCCCAAATCCAGTACAGCGACCTCCTCAATTCAATCAATATCAACCACCCAATCAATTTCAACAAAACCGACCATCAATCATAAGGACTAACCCGAACTTCAACAATCAAAGACAACCTACCATTCAATCGAATCCAAATTTTAATAGACCAAATAATCAACAGACACACCATTTGAATTATCAACAATATGACCAATATTATGAGAATGATTTTTATCAAGATGATCACTATACAGCTAGTGAAAATCAAAATTACGATCAAGCCTATCATACTGCTGATAGCCAACAATTTGATTATCATACCGCTGAAAGACAATTTGAATATGATCAATTTCCGACACAGTACCCAGACTATGACAATCTACCCCAAAATTCGGATATTCAGGATTTTCAGTCAGGGCTGAATCCTGGCGACCCACCGAACAAACCACAACAGAGTACTATAGACGAACTTCAAGCCCAAATCCAAACAATGAACCTAGACAGTTTCGATCCGAATGTGAATTTCCCGGAACAACGGTTCATTTAAAACCTCTATTGCCTGTTAATTCGAAAAACTTATA